TCTCTCTCTCTCTCTCTCTCTCTCTCTCTCTCTCTCTCTCTCTCTCTCTCTCTCTCTCTCTCTCTCTCTCTCTCTCTCTCTCTCTCTCCGTCGTTTGCTGGTGTTGCAGACCTGCGAGCACACATCGCCGTCAACCAGCTATGGAGGTCTGAATGTAGAGGTCGGGGATGCCCTATCTAAGTGGGACGTGGCGATGTTGTGATTGGCAGGTTGTGCTTTTTTATGGTTGCAACGGCGTTAGAAAATTCGGTACCTGCTGCATGACTGCACACTTTTCCTACTTATACACCCAATGGCAGGGCCCGTGACGGAAGAAACGACCTTCCTAAGTTTCCATTCCACCATCTGTACACCTGCTATATGGCCCTGGCCCCCTCCCCAGGATCCACAAAATGTCTGACAGCCCTATTCATCGAAGGCCTCCCCGACTTGGTCCCGAGCCCCCAAGTATGTGACGGGTTAACAGTCTTGTCTGAACAGAATAGCTGGGAAACAAACTGGTGGTTTAATAACGCTATTGATTGGTACACATGTTCCTCTACTGGGGGCCAAGTCACACTAGCGGTGGTTTTGTTTTGGGTTTGGAGTCGTGCGACAGCCCAGATGTAAAAGAAAAATGAGCCAGCTCTTTACCCGAGGCCGTTAGATCATGGGGCTCTCAAAAAACAATGAAAAGAAAACAGCAACAGAGTGGATCTGCCGACTGACCAACCAACCACAGCTTTCTTTCAGATACATGAGCCACAAGAGGAAAAAATCCATCAGTCCTCGATTCTAGCCTTTTTTTTTCCCCCGCAAGTCCAGGTTGTCGTAGAGGTTGGATGCTAGACATATGCATGACGAGCACAGGACTCGAACTCACAACTCATGGCTCTGCAGGCTAACACCTAACCATTAAGGCTTAAGTGGGCTGGGGTGGGTGAAAGTAAGCCCCAAGACAAGTACTTCACCCCACCCCAGCGCGAAGATCTTGTGGCAGGGTGTACCCAACCGCGCTCATCCTCTACACAGCCATATAACAGTCGCCTTCGGTTGTCGGCCATTTGTGTATCCAGATGGTCTGTAGAGGTCACTATTCCTTACGAGACTCCCTCCCTCCCACTCTCACTATTTTTCTCTCTGGCGCACCCCTACTCCCACAGTTTTGCCTCAGAGAGTTTACTACTCAGGATTATCACCCACCCATCCTCTGTACGGGGATGACCTGACCAGATAGTGGTTGTAGGCACCAAGGCTGAGCAGGACCTACGCAGCTTAGCCCTGATTGAAGCATAGGCTACAATCGAGGAGTCGAGGATCCCAGAGGGTTTGATCCTCTGGTGGCTCATGTATGTGAAAGAAATCTGTGGTTGGTTTGTCAGTCGTCAGATCCACTCTGTTGCAGTTCTTCCCCCCTCCCCTCCTTACATCTGGTAAGAGATGAAGCTGATTTATTCGGGCAGTCCGTGATCTAACTGGCCTCAGGTAAAGAGCTGGCTCATTTTGCTTTGACATCTGGGCTGTCGCACGACTCCGAACCAAACCAAAACCACCGCTACCAGCTACTGTCTTCACCCAAATAGAGATTCAACCATGGGAAGTGAAAGAATTGAGTCAATTGCTAGACTACCAGCCGGGCCGCCCAGGTCACCCGATTTTTCTGGACGGCCCGGCCGTGCAAGGACCGGGGAAGGTCCTAGCCAAAAAAAAAAAAAAAAAAAAAGAACAAATCCGAAAAAAACACTATGTTATGCAGAAAACTAAACTGAACAACTTTTGCCTCAGGGTCACATCGAAATTCTTTGCCAAATTTAAACTACAAAATAAAGTCAAAAAATCATTTAATTTTTTTATTTTTTTAGTTTTTTTTGGCCCGGCCGGGCAAGTGGTCCCGGGTCACTCTGGTATCCTAGGTCAATTGACAATTTCACATCTGTGTATGTTTTAGTCACCGCGACGTGTGTGACCAGATACAATGTGTGACCTTCTCCTCCTCGCTTCCCTCCGCCCCCTCTAAATTTCACCAATACAAGTCGTACAACTCTATTTTCATTATTGAACCACCACTCTTCCTCCAAGCCTCTTTTTCCCAACGCGGATTGTGTGACCAGACACAATGTGACCTTTGCCCCCTTCCTCTCCCCCCCCCCCCCCCCCCCCCCCCCCCCCCCCCCCCCCCCGCCCCTCCTCTAAATTTCTCACCTATACCGCCGGCCATTTTGGTCCGGTAGTACCGTTCATCCACCAATCCTGTATGTGGACAAATTCAGCACAAAAGTTTGCCTGGGCGATGTGGTGGTCTTTTTTTTTTTTTTAACAAAATGGGTTTAACCTTTTTTTTTTTGGTTTTTTTTTTCCCTTAGGAACTTACTACGACAAACTTTGGAATTAGACAAAATTCAGACCTTCATCTTACTGTTGTTGTTTTTCTTTCTGGGCTCTGGAAATTGTTGGCTATGTTGGAGTTTTTGTTGATTGATCACTTTAATAATTTAATTTAACTACTCAAAAAGAGTCAAAAGTAAAAGTTACTGTCCTTCATTGGAACGATACAGAGAAGATTAGAAGAAGCATGGCTCCTGCGCAAGTATGATGCGCGTAAATCGAGGAATGGTCCAAATTAAAAATAAAAAAAGAAGTAAAAGCTACTAAAAACCTTGTGTGTATGGTACCAATGGGCCCAGCTCAGTTGGTTTCACCTATGAACTGCTGAAATACAGACGTGACCTCGAATCCAGATGGAGCTGAAGTAGAGTGAATTTTTTTTCTGAATTACCTGGGGTCAGTCAGTTCTACGAAGATATCTCCGGGTAGTCGTCCTCAAAAAAAAACTGAAAAAAAGAAAAAAGAAAAAAACCTGTGTGTAATAATAATAATATTATTATAGTATTTACTAAAAAGTAAAACCTTGTGTGTTCTCAATTACATTGCAGAATGGCATTACAAAGAAGGCTTAGGAGCAGAGAGGGAGAGGAAGGTGAGGAGGCAGTCTTTTCTTTTTTTGTTTTCCTTTTATTTCCAAGGTTGTTTCTTTGAGCTTTAATAATCCTTTGGATACTTCAACTATATTGTAGACTACATCTTTGAACACCTCGCCCTTTCAACCCCCCCCCCTTTTTTCCTCCCCCTTTTTCTCAATCTATCTACACGGCATGTTGCTCAGTTACCTCTCTTGTTCCTTCCCAGCCGGTCGTTCTCCCTACCTACCTACTTAACTTTACGAACCCCCTCCTCCTCTAACTGTCTCAGTCTCTCTTGCTTATTTTTCTGTCTCTGTCCCCGGGTCTACGTCTGTGACTTTTCATCTCTCTTTCTCTCTCCCTCTCTCTCTCTCTCTCTCTCTTTTCTCTCTCTCTGCCTTTTCTTTTTTTCTATTTTAAAAGGGTGACGGTCCTGAGATATCATCATCAACAGTTCATGGGTGTACCAACTGAGCTAGGGCCGTTGGTGATCTCCTCTCTCTCTCTGTCTAATCAGAATTTTTTTTGAAAAATTATAAAAAAGAGAATTAAGAAAAAAAACGAGGACATATCTCTTTGTAGTAAATTTGCACACCCCTTGGTCAGGACCGATCCTGATGCGAGGACCGGCTGTGAACCTAGGGTTGGGTCTGGTCTGGTGTTGCTTTATCTGTGTTTTCTTTTTCCCTTTCTTCTCAATGTAGCAGCCTTCTTCCCAAGGGCCGCGCCTGCCTGCTAGCGTGCGCTCGCGCCTGCCCTAGGGCAAGCCCGCCGGTAGTAGGTCTGCTGGGACTGTTTCAGAGGCTCCAGTCTATTGGTTAGAAGCAACACTCCTCCCTATTACGGTTGATGAGAGGCCCAAGTGGACGGCATTGATGACTTCCCGAGAGAAGGATGTACCATCCCTCACCGCTGCGTACAAGACATATTCTTGAGATTGGTCGATTGTTATGAGTTCTACGACAGCTGTTTGTTGTTATTTGCGAGTCACCTACGAGGCCCCTAGCTGAAAAATCACCCCATTATTTTTCAAGTGCCGGCCAAGACCCGAAAAACGTCCTCCTGGGCCGCCCCTTTATTTTTTTCGAATTTCACCCTGGGGGCCTCCAGCCGGACTTAAGGACCGGACACTGGACCCGGACATGTTGTTCCGGACTGTCTGGAACCCGGTCCGGACGTCCGGTCGCTTACCATGGAACCAGATGAACAAAATTCCCGAATTTCTCGGGGCCAGTCAGTTTCACAATGGTATCTCCAGGCTGTCGCCCTTTAAAAAGAAAAACAGGCCATGCTATTGCCAGTTCCAAACTTCTTGGCCAGGTTCCAAGAACCACCTCAGGGCCTTGACATTACCAATTCTGACATCACCAACTCTACTTCCTCCTTTTCTTCTCCAACCCAACATTCTGTTTTTTCCTCTTCGCTTCTTCTCTCCCCCCCCTCCCCCCCTCCCCCCTCTTCTTAAAAAGGCCGTGCTAGCCTTCTCTGTATCGTTCCAGTTTGAACGGATGTCACAAACGAGGACAGAAGCGGTCTTCTTACTCCATCTCAGGGTACCAATTGTTCTTTTTTCTTGTCTTCTTTTTCTTAAAAAAAAAGGAAAGGGTTACGGCCTCGAGATATCATTATCGAGCTGACCGACCGTTGGTGGTCCGAAATTGTATTTTAGTCATCTGCCCTCAGTGGAGTTCGAACTCAGCACCTGGTCTGTATTTCAACAGTTCAGGGGTGTTTTACCAACTGAGCTAGGCCGGCTGGTACTGCTCTGTGTTTTCTTTTTCTTTTTTTTGCTATTCGGGAAGTTTCCATTTTCGGGTTCTTCCTAATGTACTGTGGAACATATCCACAACATCAAATAAAAAGCCAAGTTGCTTTTAAAAAAAGGAAAAAAAAGGAAGAGAAAGGAAAAAAAAAGGAATAAAACTTATAAAAGGAAAAAAAAAACGGAAAAAAAAAGAAGCCAGGTTAGCAGTTACACCCTGAAACAGTTTTCACCTTTGGCAGTAGCCGATGCAGATCCCAGGGGTCGATCCCTTGACCTCAGCTTACCTGTGTACAGTATCTGCACAGTTCCCTGGAGTTGAACCCGTGGCCTGCACGATAGCCAGTGGTAAGTAGGTCGCCGTAGGTTGTAGGCTGTAGGGAGATTCGAACTGTAGACCTGTAAGGTAGGAGTCCAAGTAGAGTCCAGAGGCCTAGCTTTAGTCCTTCTAGAAGGTCGGCAAGTGGTCAAGTGGTGAGTCTAAGGTAGGCCCACGTTTTCAGACGAAGACAAGTGGCAAGGTCAACAGGTAGGACCTCAGTGCAACTGTGAGCTCCGAGGGCCGATGGCAAAGGGCAGACCAACGAATTTCTGAAGTATAAATCAAGAGGCAGCGCCCAGCCATTCATTCATTCCTGCGTGAGCCATGCGGAAGCGCTGCCACAGCGACTTGTGCAAGGAGGTCTGCAGATGAGCCCGGAGGACG